TTCAGAAAAAAATTGGGTTCACTGCAGAAAAGCTATGACACAATGCAGTACTATTGTCAGCTCACAAAGGCTTACTACTTAAATAAAAGTTTCAATAGCTTATTGGAGAAACGAAAAAATCAGTATATTTATTGGTTGAGTTTTAAGCGTCTCCGTCGTCCTTGTAGACAGGGTTTCTGAAAAGTGTGAGAAGATGATAACATAATGCGGCTGAGTTGTCTCGATAATTATCTTTAAGCTGAGCCTTACCTTACCTGCTGAAGTTCAAAGAGTGGGAAAACTAAAAAATTAAATTAATATGACTCGTTGCACAAGAGGTGGCTTTCGTGGCCCTTGTGGTATAGTGGATAACACTGTGGCGTTTGAAACTATTGGCTCTGGGTTCGAGCCCCGGTGGAAACATCATCACTCACTGGGAAATGCTGGTACATCCAGACGACGAGTTCCAAATATGACGAAACGCACATCCTCCATTCCACTGCTAGTCACCATCCACCAATTAAAAAGCTGAGAAGTGTTACCCTATCAGACAATTAAGATGCAGTTTATGGTTTGATTCAAAGACATCATTTTATTTGATAAGTTATCATATAGTAGCTGGATTAATCCCGACTAGACATTTGTCTATTCTTTATATTAGATTTTACTGTCTTTAGAAACACATAAATTGAGTTTATTCTAAAATACTGACATGTGACTGAAGGAAATATTTTGAACGCTAACTAACATAAATACATTTTCTAAAATACATCACATTCAGATTTACTGTTGTTGTTTATCTGTTCAGGTTTCTTCGAACTTGTAATGAATCCGGTAAATATTTAGTGAACTTTTTAAATAAGTGATTTTCTGCAGAAGTTAAAGAAAAATACTTTTACCAACGAAAAATACCAGGAATTTTCGAAAATATTTGTCTTAATGATGACTTATCAACGGTTAATATAACTGATACGGTTAATATTTATCTTTTTGCCTCATCTTCCCTACTCTTGAGATTCTTTCAATCATCAGAAAGTTAAACAGAAAATAATATCTCCTTACTGCAGTCACTGCTTCACGTCGGTGGAATAGTTAAGCAGTGTGTTATTCTTTTCCCTTATATTTATATTTATTATTTCATTCCTTTACGTTTCCGGTGGAAAATACGGCCTCAAGCTAGAGGCCTGAAGTTTCGGTAGTAGCGGTATTGATTTTAAAGGGACGGGGTTGCTAGCCTCATACCAAACCTTCACTCTTTACTGGCTTTGCTGTTAGCTTAACGAGGTGTATGAATGCGTCGGCCGGGGATCGTACCCCAAACCGGCTGCTTGGTTGGCGAGCATTCTGCCGATGCACCACCGACGCACAAGGACTTTGTTAAAAATTCATAAACTTGCCTTTTAAATCTATAATTCCTAGCAGAAAACATATAGTGAGGTTGCTAGCACTATTCCCTCATGTTGGACCGTGTGTATACGCGTGTCTGTCCCGTGAAACGTTCTAACACCTTCAATTATCCCTGGATGATTCAACCGGCTTACCTATAACAAGATTTATCACTATTCTAGAAGTCTGTATATCATATGTGTGTAAGAACTTGGCCCAAGGCAATGGCTTTAGTCAGTCAGTCATGCAACCTCGGCTAAATAATTTATCAAGACCTGGAATTTTGACTGTCGTGAGGACTGAAGTTTATTCTAAGCACAGGCCTTATATGGAGAAGGAAGTGTAACAGTAGTCGAAGCATGAGAAACAGAAATACTATGGGAGTTTACTTACACAGGCCCATGAAAGTGATTAACATTAGCAAAAAGAATCATTATAAGATATATTATGTCAGCACAGTGACAGTAAGTCGTCTAATCAATGTGTATACAATCAAAATGATTGATGACTACTAATTTATTGAGTGTCCTTCTTTGTCATCTTGGAAAAATCCCACAAACAAGTTTCTCTGAATCTCCGTAAAGTTAGCCTATATGATTTCAGTGCTTTTCATAATTCAAAATAAGATTTTTCTAAATGTTTACTCGAGTGAGCCACGACTGAAGAACTTTCTACTGTTGTTGAACAGATGCCTCATGCTCCTTGGTTTACCACAGTTTTCAAGCTGATGTTAATTCACAATATGACTTGCCTTAAAATAATGATAAATTAATACTAACTATGGTATATATATATATCTACTTTCTGGATTTAACTCTCGTACCAAGATGACATTTCATTTTCTTTTATTACTGAACAAAATAACTTCGTTTTTAAGTCTAACATTCAGTAGCGATCACTCCTGTCTTTCCTTTTTATTGTCTATTTCTTGCATGCTTCATCATTTTCATTGTTGTCATAACGAGAGAGTAAGATGATGAAAGAAGCAAAAGAATAGTACTCCTAGTGAATAAATATTATAGGCAGGTAGTGTATGAATGTTTTTGAATTGAAGTTATCCTACTGCATAGTTAACTCTATCAAAGAAGTGAGTACTTACCTCTCCCTTTTAGAATATGTAGAATTAACAGTCTAGGAAAAAGGTATAAAAATTATCTGAGTAAATATTGGACAAATAAAATGTAAAACGAAACGCAATGAAGTTAGTACTGTTGACAAGGTGAACAAAAACCTTTCCTTCACTATTATTATTGTTAACATTTATTTTGTCTTCTGTACGCCATTGCTCACATCAGACAAAACTGTCCTCTGAGACATAGACACGAAAAGCAGTTAACACGCATTTCTTTGTCTACCTGTATAACCACATATGTATGCGCGTGGTTTCTGCTAAAGTACTAAACACTCACTATTCAACTTGCCTTCACCAATGCAGTAATATATATATATATATATATATTCGAATGAAATTAATACAGTTATCATTATTTTTATTGTTCTCAAGAATGCGTCTTTTCCCCTTCTAAATATTAATAATTAATATTCATTTGCAGATAACTGTCAACGATAACTGATTAGTGCCGAGTGTATTCATATCAAATGCATTTGCATGTATTTATACTAATATATCTTCATTGAATGCGATAAAGTCTGATTAGCCAACAATAGACGATGAAGAATAAAACTGAAACATCATTATTAGTATTACTGACCAGAGTTATTTTCAACGTATGTGCATGTGTTTCTGTTACTATATGAAATGTCTCTAAAAAGTAATCCAGAATGACATTAGGTTTGTGCCTCGTAAGAATATGTTGCTATCATACATATATATATATATATATATATATATATATATATATTGAAGGACTAAGTCTTTGATTTTCACGTTTGAATCTATTGAGCCTTTGAGTTGATTATGCTGCGGAGTTATTCATTTCGATAATTAATACTGGGCTCCTTAAATAAAAGCCTGCCCAAGGTTTGAGTCATTGAAATCACTTGCATAAATAAAGTCATAACAACGACGAATATTAGATCTATGATAACAGTAAAAAAAATGAAGACATACTAGACTTTTATAAATATAATTTATTGTTTATTTTAAACACTGGTGTTTAAGGTGTGTACCACGAATACCACGAATTCGAAATGAATGAATTCATTGAAGATATAAATCACTAAAATAGTCTGAAACCAAAGTTCTTTTTCAGGCTGTCAGTCAGATACTTTAAGGACTCTTAGTAAAATGTACTGCAGCTATGTAAATACAAAATAAGAAAAAGCGATTCCATTTTTATTACAATAAATATCTACTTAATTCTACTTTGCTTAATCCAGATTCAATAAATAACTTACTGTTTATGAATCAAAAGATTCTGGTTGAAAAGCCGTTTGTTTCATATATGAGCTATGAGCAAAATTAAATGCAAATCTTGTCTACGCCTGTATGTCCCTGGTTTCTTCACTTTTCATTTGTTTGTCCTAATGTCTAAGCTTCTATTAAATCACATCCAGTTTCACATAAATCCACGTGATACTGCTTATATGTTAAATTGCCATTAAACTCATAGTTTATGTACATTATGGGTTCTCATACACCATTCATGGTTTACAGCCTAGTATATGGAAAGGTCTACACAAGATAACTGAACTGCATTCATTTGAGGTCCTTTATAACCTGCCCAAATTGTATCGCATAAAAACATTTCAAAATAGGATTCGAAATATAAATATGTATATATTTATTAGTCCTAAAATTTCTCTGTTTGATTGATAACTGATGGGTAAGCTCACATATGTAAATGATCTTTGAATTGGGAGGTGTGTAAGTGAAGTCAAGGTTAATCTTGTCAGCAAATGAACCAGTGAAGTACTGCTCGAAATCAGTGTTCCCTGGTTTCCAGTGGTGATTTCAGCTGAATTCGACTTTTGAAGAAATCAAACTAAGTAATAATAAACACAATAACAATAATTGCTTTCTTCCAAACAGTACTTTTGATAAAGTGTGGTATTCTTAGCATGTGATTCAATGCTGCATCTAATTTTCTCTTTACATTACATCATCAAGGGAATAAAATAATTACAGAACTTTTCTTGGCATTTACAGTAATAATAATGGCAGTCATATATAAATATAAAACATAATCCCTAGTGATTATACATGAAGTTGGAAACACCAACATAAACACTGCTCTTTTCAAATTTCTAAGAGCAGTTATATACATTAAATCGAATTCTTAAAAGCTTTTTTAACAGCCAATTTTTCGAAAAATTGTTTTCTACTTATAAATTAATCAGTAGCTAAATAGTTAGACAGAAACTATTGTCGTTGGTAAGCGCAAAATCCTATTTCTATGGCTTTATAATATATCTGGCCGCTTTTCCCCAGGTTATCTGTTACCATAATTTCAGATAAACACCGTAATGTTTATTTTAACTGTTCAAGTTAGCATCCTAATAAGATAGTATTGAATTTTTAGAATTTTCAGAGCCCAGTCTTCAGATGGGAAGTTAATATCTTTTCTATACTGGCAAATTTCTTTTCTAAATACGAATGAATCAGATCATATTTCCTCATCTCTTTCTTTTCTATCAAATTTTCAACTATGCGCTTAATTATTTTTAAAATGCAGAATATTGAAACATCACGTCTATGGAAAAACAATAAGAATATGAAAGATGAACAGGCTGAGGAAGAGGATGATGATGAATCCGCATGCTTAAACAACTCACTAACTTCACCTATTATTTCAAATGATGTCAAAAGACGAAAATATGATTCTACTAGATTCTATGCTACAATGCAAGGAAGGTATGTCGGTGTTTTTTTACTGATCAACAGACAAAGCTTAAAGCTTTAAACACTTTTGTTGGTGGGTTTTCCAGTTGTTAGGAAGACATAATCAAAATAAAACCCAGTTCCTGTACATAGAGTATGCACATTAGTTGGAAAGATTAAAAATGAAAATATAGCAATAAAATTCATAGAATTGAAGTTTGTAGACTGCTACACGACGAAGAAAGAAAAGATAGCTGTGATGAATTCTGAGAAACGTAGTTCAACGTATTCAGTCTTATGCTGCGATCATCGTGTGGGCATTTCAAATAAGCAATCAATGATTTCAATTTCTTTCACACTCATCCCACTTCCACTAAAATAGCAGATTTAAATAAACTGTAAACAAACACACGTAACAGGTTTTCAAACCGTCTGATATAGTGTAGGTTTGTATTTTAATTAAATAACCTACCTGTCACAAATAAGACTCAATGCTTTTCTCCTATATTACTTTAGTTGAGGTTCTACCAAGTCCAGACAATAATGCGGAATCAATGACTTTCAGACACAAGGCAGTGGGGTCGTACTCCACTCCATCTACTGAGGTCTAGGGTATAGCTATTATCCTTAGTCCTCTAGCGAAATCTGGCTTACTGTCTTGAGCGATCATAAATACACATCGAGTAATTAAATTACGTTGCGGTTGTAGAATTAAATTCATTAAATTCACCTTATCTCAGTTCACTTTGTAATCACATCGGTACGTGCATTAGTCACTGAATAGTAACCGCTATAAACTTGGAGTTCCTGGTAGTGATAGAGATTTATTGATTAAGTTTACCAAAAATTTTAGTAAAAAACCGCTTCATATGAAAAGGGTAGGATTTCTATGGGGTGTATTTCGTTTGATTTGAACCAGTGTTTTGATTCCAAACTTAATTTTAACCTTTGACCTATGAGTCACAGATTTGAACTACACTTCATTTGCTACTAATTAGTATAGTCGTTGCTTAAATAACAAGTATAGCTAGTTACCCAACTCATGCACGTGCAAATAATTGTTGAACATCAATCACTGAATGAGTGCACCACAGAAATATTCATAATGACTGCTAAGTTAAAAGTATCGTCAGTATATTTTTCAATGGACAATTTCAACGCTAAAACAAAATATGAAGTTTGTCATCTAAAACTTTACCCTTTCAAGTAAGTATTCAGAGTCAAAAGACTTATAATGCAACGTTCAATTATTGATTTACTCATGAATCAGTTATTCTCAAATATATTAAGAAATCAAAGCTGAGACTCCCATTTTAACTCATAAGATTTCTAGTTCAGACCCAATTTCATAGTTGGTGTAACTGTATACCAGAAATGTGTAATGGGTTCAGACGTCAATAAAAATGAATGCAGACGCATTTGTCTGATGAGCTGTACATAAGTAGAAGCGTAAGTGAACACTACTGACTAGCCCACTGAAACCTTGGCTGAGATAGCAACAAAACTGTCCGAACAAACAAGTTTATCACTAAATGTGTGTTTATGTTCTCAGTTTATTACTTAAAGTTGGTATTTTACAAATATGTGATTTATGTTCACATAATATGCATTTTAAATTTCAGTAAGTGTTTTTTTTTTCTCTCCCTTATTCAGTAATTTTTCCAATCAAATCAATCATTTCAAACAAGAGCAACAAGAAAATGGAAATCTTGATTCGACGTTAACTTGCAGGAGTCAATTAACCCACTGGTCAGATTTAGATTTAACCAACCTTAGTAACAATGACGTGAAACAATTATTAGTAAGGTTACATTCTATGGGAAAACTGCATGGATGTATTGACTGTCAAACATTTTATCTTGATGAAAATATGGCTAATTATCATTTAAATAATATGCATGTAAACAAACATTCAGACACTAAAACATTTGAATGCTTGAACTGTGGTGAAGACTTAACTAATCCTTTATTATTTTTAAAACATTTTACACATTGTTTGTCTACAAAAAAGTTTAATGGAGTCGATCTATCAGTATCATCATCTTTACCATCAGAAAACTTGTCCAAAGAAACTGATGAAAGTGAAACTAAAGTACTGTTAGAGAATGTTAATGAAAGTTCAGGACTACTGGAAAATAATAAATTAGAGAAAACACTTGAAAATTGTACACATGAGACCACAGAAGTTTTGAATAGTCCACACGAAGAGATCATTACTACTTCTCTAAATGATAATAACGACAGTAATGATAATCGAAGTAATGAAAACTATTCACTGATAATAAATATCAATGATGAATCAGAGACAAAAATTAACGGTCACTGTTCCGAAGAAGTTGAAGAACACACGGTAAATGAATGCTCACCACTGGATATGCCTTCCCCTGGCTCAGTTGGTCAGATTTTACAGTAAAATCTATTAATTTCATTGGGAAGAACTGACATAAAAATAAGGTACTATGATATTAAAGTTTGCTTTAATTACCACCCAGTGTTTTTTGACACAATGTGTTCATATTCCTCAGCATACGACAGAGTTATTGCCTGTTTGAAAAATTTGTCTTTTTGTGTGTTTATCAGGAGGAGACAATTCTATCCTCGATATCCATTCTTCCTCTTTTTATCTATCTTTAAAGTTGACATTCATTTCACATTTGTTTGTAGTCATTTTGTTCTACTTCTATTTTGTACCTATGTTTGTTTGCACATTTGTTTACTTTATTTGAACAATAAAGAAATGCAAGGATGATTTGATACATTGAACTGCAATGCAATTAAATAAAACTCAGGTATAAATGTCCTTATTATCATTATTATTGTTATTAGTTTCTTTGCATATATATACATATATAAGTAAGTCACCAACTCAACAAATGATTAGTCAAGTCCAGTTTGCTTGTTTTCGTTTTGTACAGTTTATTTGTTTGAAGCTATTTTTGTGTAATCCTTTATCCTTTCTCATTTTTTAAGAATAAAACAAACGTCCCTTTGTCAATAAGCGTAATAATAATAATTATGATTATTAATACATCTATCGTTGTTATTATTAGTATTAGTATTATGTGTTCTGCTTGTTCGTCTTTTTCTCTTCTTTATTTTTTACCTCCACCTACCTTTTTAAATATGTTAAATGGGGCTATTTATATTTCTTTTTGTTGGTGAATTCGTCTGATCTGTTTACTATACTGTTGAATTGTAATATTATGGAGATAAAACAAAACAATAACACCGACGAAACAACAGTGATTATGGTGACCAGTGCCTGAGTGAATTTTGTTCGTATACAACACGAAAATACAGACCTTACTGTATGAGCTTTAATCATAATAAATTTTTTTTGTTATTTGAGCTGTAAACCAAAGTTGGTCTAATTTATTTAAAGAAAAAAAGTTTCTCTCTTTAAAACTGCCTAGTCCTTTTCTATATTTTTTTTCTCTCAAAAAATCCAGAACAGCGGGAAAGAAGCAAAAATTTACTTAACTATAACAGAATTATAGGTATGTTAGGGAAAAGCCAAAGAAAAAGATACAAAGGTGTAAGAAGTTAACCAAAATTAAGTTGAAATATAATTACAGAATAGCATTAATAACACTGTTGTTTCGATTTTATTAGTGAAGCATTCTATGACATTTCACAGTATTTGCTGACCAATTACTTTTTTAATCATTTTCCTTTGTCACTTTTTTTAATTGTCTCCCTACAATTTGAAAGTGTTTTCGAGCGTGTGCTTCTTTGCATTTACCTTTAAACTTTATGAAATTTTGAATAAAAACTATTCTTAAAAAAAACAACAACTGCTAATCACCTTTCTCTGCTTTTCTTACTCTATGCTCATAAAACTATATCTAAATGTTACTCTAGCAAATCTGTAAATACTCACACAGCGACACACATCGAGACATTCTGTTGTACACCTGTTCTTATGATTGTCAACAATGAAGTATAATTTCAGGGACAAGTAGTCGCTTCACTTCTATGCGCTACTGTCAGTATAAGTTTAGGGGAACAGAAGAAATCTGTAATAGGAAGAGTGAATAGTAACTCGAAATATCCATGATTGTGTTACTACATTTAGTTGTCGACTTAATTAAATAAAAATAGTTATCTTTACGCCTAACGAAATCAGAATTAGTGGTGGTGTGCATTACTATGGATTAGAAGCAACACTAGTTACTTTTCGAAGACCGATTTGCATGGACAACGCAACTCTGTAGAAGGACGGTCTTAAGTGGTCTTTTGCCTGATTGATTAAGTAACTCAGTTTTAAAACTCAGAGGGAACATAGGTTACCTAAAGGTCTTAGGTAAATGTTGTTAGTAAACGCCAATGATGGTTAACTCCTAGTATCTAATAGACATCACTTTAACCAAATGAAAAAACTGTCGATATTAATGAATTTAATTTAACTGTACTGAAGTGTAAAGTTGTCACATCTTATTGTGTGGTGATTTTTTGATGGACTAATTGTGAAAAACTTAGTCGTACACTGTCTAAAACCTACGAATAAATTTGGTATTCGGCCACTTTACCTATAAGTAGCGGAAAATGCTACTATAAGAAAGCTACGAAAGGGGTTACACATATAAGTCAAAGTGGAAATCCTCCACGGGGCCATTAGGTTGAGATAAACTCACTACGACATTACCAAATGTAAGTAAATTGATCAAGTATATATTAGTTAAAAAGAGCATGCGTGTAAGTGCACGGACATGGACTGTCGTATACATAAATATAAGCATACAACTCTATGTGCTTTCATAGAAACTAATCAGAACCAATTAGCAGAACCTCGAAAAACCAACAACTGAATTATGTAGACAACATTCACGTTTTCGAATCACCACTGACAGACTGCGGGCTTAACTCGCTAAAGGTCACACTGTAACTACCGAACATTTCATGGTGGAATTTTACGTGGGGAGGGTGTGGGGTGGTTAGTCAGGTAAACTGGTCTACTAAAAAGTTATATTATCTCCATCAGTAGTGAACATCGTACAGTCGGTCAACTTTATAAAGTTACCATCACAGTGAAATCCACCATCTAACATTTAATATTGGCCTGTTACAAAACTATATCTGCATCAGTGCGGGGAATTGGAGATTTTCAATTATGACATGTAACAAATATATGAGAAGTAGAATTCGGAGTTACCTGTGTACTTTTATATATTCAATGTGTAAATATACAAGACAAACTCAGCGAAGAAAATTTTCTTTTTCGACGAAATCATCTTCAGAGGCTGTACAGTCGTATTTATATTTACCAAAAATGTATAGTAGTCTATTGTTGAGTAATAGGGAGTGGCTTTAGAAGTAAAAAATAAAAGTTGTAAATTACGTGGTACTCAACAGCACAAAGTTAGAAATTTGATAAGGTTAAAATTGCTATTGAGTGAGAATAAAGGTAGTTGAGTGTCAAGTTGACAAGTGTGAAGAGGGTATGGAAATGTACCAGAGGAACATATGAGAGTGATAATAGTGAATTAATTATTAAAGTAAAAGCAAACTAAAAGTAAAAAAGAAAATTTAAAAAAATTAAAATTTTTTTCAGAGAACGACTAGTGAAGAGGTCAAGACCGAAGTAGAATAAGAGACTGGACAAACTTTTTCTGTATACAGAGTTCGGCGTTGTATTGACAAATTGCCAGCGCCTCCGCCATACACAAAAGCCAAAACCTGATGCCCTTTGTACCATTTGGCTTCACCTTGTAGATGATCTTGAAAAAAATATTTTAATGTTTCTAATTTTCAATTTTACTTTTAGTTTGCTTTTACTTTAATAATTAATTCACTATTATCACTCTCATATGTTCCTCTGGTACATTTCCATACCCTCTTCACACTTGTCAACTTGACACTCAACTACCTTTATTCTCACTCAATAGCAATTTTAACCTTATCAAATTTCTAACTTTGTGCTGTTGAGTACCACGTAATTTACAACTTTTATTTTTTACTTCTAAAGCCACTTCTGAGTAATTATATCAATTATGTCATCCCCTATTACTCAATAATAGACTGCTATACATTTTTGGTAAATATAAATACGACTGTACAGCCTATGAAGATGATTTCGTCGAAAAAGAAAATTTTCTTCGCTGAATTTATCTTTTATTTTCTTCATGATTCAATGGGTATTTTTAATGTAAATATACCTTAATTAATAATGAAGTTAATATTGAACTTTACAGATTTACAGGAAATTTGATGAAGACTGGTTTTGAGGTGTATCATAAAATGGAACATGGCCCTATATTCAACGACAGTGACAATTTTAAGATAGTAAATTACACAAATTTTTCCTGAATTCTAAAACACTGTTTTCATAAAATAGCACTGTGATTTTGAAAATCATTTGAGGGGCTGGTTGTGTTGCTCATATATGATTCCCTTCAATCGGATGACAACTGCAACATGTTTTCGGCAGAGTTGCTTATTTTCCTAGTTCATACAGTTTTGTTACGTAATAGAATTCTTCCTTTTAACAGTGTATAACATCACATTATAAAACGTTCCATATACTACAGCTTCGTGAGACTGTGAAAAACGCTTTATCATTGGAGGTTTGAAATGAAAAGATTGTTAAATTTCGATGTTTTCTAGAAAGACCAGTCAAAAGAGAAAACTGCTTAAGATGTTGGATATCATGAACATATTACTTTCTATTTGACACTTTTATATTAGCATTCATGTTAGGAATTAAGTTGCAGGGATTTTGTTGTTATATGCCGAACAATTCTATTCAGGGTGCTCTAAAAAGGTCAGGTACAATAAAAAAACAATTAGAAAAACATGAAACGGAAACAGTCAGTGTTTGAATGTCTATTTTAGCTCTTTACGGAAGCAGTTTGGCAAGGTATTGATTATTTTCCTTGGTTTGAAACATTAAACAATGAATATAGATGTTTCATATATAAATGGCATAAAGGTAAATCAAGGCATTGGAAAGTAGTTATATTTACTGCTTCAGAAGAAACAGATGGACAATTTTTTGTTCACTAATGTGATCATATCGTAGTACGCTTCCCCAATTAAATTTTTTATTGAGAAAATTGGGGACATTTTATGGAAATTTTGGGATATTAGGAGATTTTGGGGGAAATTTGGGGGTTGCTTTTGGTGTTCAGTGGTATTTTGGGGAAAAGTGTCAAAATTCCCCAAAACCTTTTAGCTCGGTCATTTCTGTTACAACACACCAAGGGTTAATCATAACGGCAAGATATTGGAAGTATTCATTATGAAAGTGTTTGAGGTATTTCAGTGAGTTGCTTTGTGTTTCCCAACAATAAAACAATGGATAAGTTTAACAAATACTAGTTTTAGAGTAGTGAACTCCTCGAAAATCCCTGCTCAGAACTGATATTTATTTGAATATTTCTGTTTCTACTGTATACGACATATTTTATCCATGATCTATAATTTCAACTCGAATGTTATCATTCGTATTTATTTCGTTTAGGATTTACCCTCAGTGCTGAAGCATTGATAAGATGGCGTTGTTTAGCTACTCTCAGTATTTTGCTTGAACAGAGTGGTTGTTCCATGGAGTCATTACATGCCCTTTGACCGTCTGATGATATGTTTACCGCCTGATTTGTTTATTATGGGTAAAATTTCGATCTTTTTTTTGTCTCATACTTTAGTTGATTCTCAGATGTATGAAATTTGTTTTCACTTGGCCATGACTTGGTATCAGGTTTTTAGAGGCTGACTGTATTGACGTTCGCGGATTGTACGGAATATACTAACGCAAGATCTTATACCAACAACTTCTATAGTATTCGTTCCGCGTAGACCAAAGGCAAAGCAAAAGACCACAACTGATCGTCCAAATTACGAGATATATTTTGGGACCAAGTTGGAGTGCGAGACGATTGCTTAGCCAGCTAGGGATCGTGTATGAACGTGACGCGAGGGAGTACCAAATGGCGTGGGTCCCTGACCGGAAGCCTTTAGCTAAACATGTCGAGTTAAACAGTGAGGGTCAGCATCCAATGTTCAGTGATGATTGCTGTGGTCAATAATTTTGGGGAATTATTTATCGCTACGGGCTGTTTGCTTAAATTATAGGGCTACCAAATTCCACCCCCTCCATCAAAATGTAACATATTTACTGCCTTTCATATTGTTTTAGCAATTTGACTGCGTTTATTAATCATAAGCTATTCCCACACACATTTTCAAAAAGGCTTCGACTTACTACTATAAGTCAATTTAAGGAAATGGAAGGAGAGTTCGACATATTAATGCAGCATGCTTTGGTAGCATTACTTATCATTGTATTACTTGAAGGTCTCACACAAGAAGTAAATATTTCGCTATCAGATGGGCCGAGAATTCTGTATGACGTTTAAAGAGAACTTCTCCTAATAAATCTGTTATTATTATGGAACATATTTCGTATCAGAGAAAAATTAGGCTGTGTAGTAGTGAAGCGGCATTTTTATCTTGAAAATAACTTATTGTTCTTACTTAGCACGTTAGTTATGTCTGCGTTACTTTGTGCTCAGTTATAGTTGCGATATAATCAGTTACTTTGTGTGTGTGACTCAAGGTAGTTTTGAACAATGTACAGCGGAAATGGAGTTTTGGCTTGATTATCCTGAACCTGGTTTCTATTAGTGAGGGACCAAACTACTTAGGTTTTGGTCAATAAACCAGTAGTCAGAAGTAAAAGCAGAAATAACACTTTTGGAGCAGTTGAGTACTTGTGTATATTCTTACTTGTGGATGAAATGCTCGGACCTATGTCAAGCATCTGTGCTCGTGAATCATGAGTAAGTATCCTATCTCTCTATTGTATAGTAAGGAGAAGAGATTCAGTCTCTTAAGTTATCCTTTGTACGAAAAATCGGCCGAAGAACGGATCATACGTATGGTAGACGTCTAGACTCCTTCCAGTATGTGATTTATTTTTTAAGGAAGCGCTAGCTGCCTGTGTGTCACTTTCAAATTTGGAACATCACCAGAGATACAGTCAGAGTCGTGAACACATTGCTATAGACCCTACTTTAACAAAAATTATGTCGAAACGTTTCTTGTTATTGATGGACTTGACTCACACTACGTAAGGTTTGTCAGAAAGGAAGGGTTTCCCGGAAAGTGCCACGAAACGGGAAGTACATTATAGTTGTCACGTGTAAAAGGTTTGCCTGCAGTTTGAAGGACGTTGTCTACGTCCTCAATCGTCAACAGGTGTTACGCTTGTGTTCTTTCAGTATTGTGGTAATACTACTTGCTTCTTCAGTGGTTTGACCAGCTGTACTAGCCGCCAGCCACTTGAAAAGCCTTGGATGAATTTTATAAGGTACTATTGACGATTGTTGTTAAACATTGATGTTATTACAACTTATGCGACGTGCTGAGGTGGTTATTGATGTAAGGTTACAGAAAAGTGATTTACCACTACTGCTTTATTGTGGTTCTCTTTGCTTAATTGGAATTCTTCAGTTCCGATAGTAAACTCGGAGGTATTTTAATGCATCTGGTTTCTATGGTCAGTATATGAACGCCCTTTGTGAAAGTGTGTCTCGCTATAGTCGCATCCTGAAGTTCATTTGTTATTAGCTTCACAGCCTCTGGAATGCCAAGAAAGTACATGCACATTATAGTGCTTCTCCTTGAGCCTGAGCTTAGAAAAGATTTCCCGTTTGTTCATAAAGAACAATGCCTTGTTCTCGTGGGAACGGCTTTTGGGGAAAGGAGCAGGGGTGCTCAAACATACAGCTACTTGTAAACATCAGACCAGGCTTTCATTGTTGGAAACCGCAGTTCATGTGGCTCCACTCATGGCATCAACCCCGTCTGAGTTAATACACTAACAGGAATTACTAATCAGCCGCTGTAGTACATTAAAAAGTCAGATAAAAACTTTTAAAATAAGATTTCTACTACTCTCCTACCCTCAAACTGTCTTATTTACTCACGATTAACTGTTTGTGGGCATGAGTGGTGAAACGTCTTCACTTGTGCTCAGAATTCGAAGCCGTTGAATCAACTCGTGTATCCTAAGAAAGCAGTAACAATTGGGGAGATCGGGAGTTGGAACACTGCTTTCCAGGAGTGGGCTTTTCCTCACATCTGATTACACAGTTTGTACCTCATTGTCATAGTTGGTTCAGACTGTTACAGCAGCAATTACAACGGTAAAACAGTTGCACCTATATTAAGTTCTTTTTAAATCCCACACTAAGAAAGCAATAAAGTTCGGGACACCCAACAAGAATTTACCGGATCGGTCATTCACTGCTTTAGGGAATCGCCTCCACAGACACGCTCAGTATTTCGGCTAAACGCGTCCAATTGATGAGACCACATTTGCCTAAGTAGTGAGGTACCAAAGGGATTGAAAACACCCAAGGGCGTATCACAGAAGAGGATAATCTGGAAGTCCTGTTCACAACAACCCTACAGCTCCATTTGATGGGATGAAGGACTACCTTTCACTTCAGTATGCTGCAATAAAGTGGTTGTAATATGATTCTAATGGCAGCTTCGATAGTTTGATGCCTAAGGCGGAGATAACTAGCATGCGGATTGCACAGAAGTTCTAAGAAGAGTCGTTGAGTAATGGAGTGACAGGAGGATTAGTTGAGAAGATGCCACAGTCTCCCGTGGAAGACCAGAAATCGCAAGTGAAAACGTGTCAGACTTAAATGTAATCAGGAGCAAGGAAAAAATAGTGGGAGTATGTGGCCACTGTTACACCTAGAATTGTTTCGTTAAACAATTAAATTGTGCTTTATGCCTACATTCTATTTTTGTGAGAATTAGGCTTCTCTGCATTTCGCTTTTGACGGCTTTGTATATTATATTGTTGAATTTACAACTTGGTTAACCACTAACTATTCTGTTAAGACGGTAATTCTTTGTGTTTGGACGTTGGATTACCTCCAAGTTTCAGGCTAGTCATTTAATTACCCAGTATACCTCTTAAATGAAACAATTTTTCATTCTTTAGAGTTTCGGCTTTAAAATGACAATATTTTGAGTAGGGTGGTGTTTCATTTGACTATTACATTGGTACCTGTTTCGTTAAGAAATGTCCGGATATTTGGCCACAGAACATTTTCCCAACAACGTGGTCTGACACTGTTTAAGTGAGAGATGCAAAATCAGGTGGCGAACTTCAGTTGTAGACAACCCTGCCTGATGGTTAGAAAGGTGAAGAACTTAGAGTGGCACACCATACGAGGTCGTGATTTCTGCAGTCCATAGTGACTGTCACTCACGATACTGCAAATAAGAGTATGTCAGTGAATGTTACCTTCAGCTATTTGTTCACATCCTTGCACGCTACAAGTGTGATATTAATTAGTCTGCAGTTATTAAGCGTTAGGACCTTATCAAAACAAGATCTAACACATCAAAGTGCTTACGTGTGAAGTAACTTATCTAAGGTTTCCCCTTTTTCACAACATCCTTTGGATTTATAAGCTACTTTTTATACTAGGAAACCTTTGATGTTTTCAGTGAAACTACTGTATCTAGACATGTGTTGGGGGTGCTGCTCCCTACTCAATATATCTCACCAGAGATTGCACGGGACTTTAGTCTATCATGCTTTATTTCCTACTAGCTATTTGTTAATCACTGGAGACTACAGTGGCAGTACTACTTGAAGAAATCGGCATAAAGCACGAAAATGTCTGACAGTCGCTTTAAAAACGTGAAGTCCTGTACTGTCAGAAAAGAACTTATATTGTTTCAGAATACTTAGTTTGGTACATCTTGTAGGAGTAGTAACAGTCTGTTTAATCCATAAATATTCAGTGCACATAAGAATTAATCACATTAATTTGGTCATTGATGAAATCCTGGTTGGTTTTTAGCACGTCAAACACTCTGCATGGGACATTCCGTTTCCACAAGATTCGTAGTCGTAAAAGGTACCAGGCATTGTGTAAATGTGCCTGTTAAGCACTATAAGAATGGTTAAGTATTATGCATGTTGTTCAGTTCATTACTTGTTGATGGTAGCTGAGTTTGCTCGAGAAGAAAATAAAAGAACTTCCCTCCTTTTTATTATTATTGTACTTGTCGCATCTATGTGGGTTTACTCATCACCACTTTTCCCTTCGTCGCCTATATTAGACCAAGTAATTATAGTAACAGTTCCTTTACGCGCGAAAATGACCACCGTAAGCATCGTTGGCTTTTTAGGGATAGACATAGCGATTTCAAGGAGGGAGTGTAGTTTGGAGAGGAAATATTGGTCGAAGTATCTCTTTCCGACTCAAGCGTTCTAAGCATCAAATTTTCGCATGTAGCGCAACGAATGTGCGTTATAAGAAGTTATCATATCTTATACATCATTCACTACTGAGTTTCTGTTTAATCTCTTGAGTATATATTAGGAAGACTCAGAATCAGATCCCTGACAGGTCAAGAGAGGTGTCTCCATTAAGTTCAGTAATACCGCGGTATTATTTTGTGATCCGCATTTTCGTAACAATGAATCCTGTCTGATAAATGCTTTCTTTATTCCTCTTCTTTGGAGAGGACTATGGCATATGATTCGGAATGAGTAGCACCAGTATACGCACCATGTCGTTTGTTATTGGATAATAAGGAGAAAGAAACTGCTTGCTTACCTTGGACCTACTGGAAAGCAAAATAATCAGACGTGAAAATCTAATCCATCACTTACGAGTTAGATGTTATAAGCTATGTAGCTTCCTGGTATTATTTAGAAATAAAGCTGACTAATGTTGCTTGTCTGAACACGTCTGTTGGTCAAAGAGATCAAGTATCCTATATTGTAAAAATAGTAATATACAACAATAACAACGAAGCGCGACTTCTGTTCACGTACTCCTTGAAACAGCTATTGTCCTCGAATTCTTTTTAAGAATGTAAAGCAATAGAGATAGTCAAATTGATCAAGGAGGTGGAATTAGGTGAGTGCAAAATTTGTTTAAAATACAGCTAATTGTATCCTTGAGGACTTGTAAGTTTTTCGAAATGTAATTGGGTTTTCGAGTTTTGGTTTCAATCACAGTTCATTATGCAAACGTTACGCGATAAAGTATATGTACCAATTTACGCTGCTAAAAGTAGAGGTGCACCAACAGTTAAAATAACCATAATCGGTGCTGGGCCGATCGGTATGGCAACTGCATTTAGTCTCCTTAATAAAGTAATGAAGTGTTTGATAATTTATTTACTTTGTAGGGTATTCCAACAGAACTGGTTATTGTAGACTTAAATATTGAGCATGTTGAAGCTGAAATCAGTGACTTGCAAAATGCTAGGCAGTTCCTTCCAAACGTTTCCATTTATGGGGGTTCAAGTAAAAATTAAAATAGCTTATTTCAAAGATTACAAGCTTTCGTCAAACTCTAGTATAGCCATATTATGTGCTGGCGTTGAAAGGCGAGATAATGAAAGTCAAATAAGTCACGTTCAAAGGAATGTTGACGCATTTAAAAGTATTTTAAATTACTTAGCCTCTGCTTAACTTAATTAGCTATTATACCTCACATAGTTGAAAATAGTCCGAAGTGTATCATTATTGTTGCTGCTAAACCAGGTAATAATCAAAATATAAACCATTCAATTATAGTTGACGTCCTGGCATATGTTACTTGGAGAATAAGTGGTTTCCCGACGAATCGGGTTCTTGGAGTCGGCACTATGTTAGATTCATCGCGGTTTTGTAATGCTATAAGCAAAAAGCTTGGTTTATCTGCCGACTCTGTTAGTGGGTATATACTAGGTGAACAAGGAGAGAAATCAGGTAATGCCCAATGGTTACACATCTATATAAGTAGTGCCAATATGGAGTTCTGTTACTTGTGCTGGCGTCAAGCTTCGAAGTGTCTATCCAGGAATAGGAACAGCAGACGACAAAGAGGGTTACAACAAAATTCTCCAGGATTTAATTGAAAAGTAGGTTCTCGACAATTTTTTACTTTCAGTGAACGTGCAATCGATAAAGGTAAAGGAGCTAATTCTTTCGCAATGGGGCTTGCTACCAGTGTAATTTGTGAGTCAATATTAACTGATGCAAACAGTATCTTGCCTCTATCAACTCATGCTAAGGTATTTTCAAATCATCTAAAACTAATATTTATTATTTTTAGCATGAAGGGAAGTTGGTGGTAAGTTAAAATTTTAATTATACAAAATCCTACAAAAGCTGTCAAATTGTTAACAAAGGAATATGCGGCTGAGTAAATAGATCTGTCCGTATCAACCCACCTAGTATGAAATATTGACAGGCAGTTATCGTATTCACGCTGTGGATATAGAAAAAAAGATACACGTGAAATGATTTAGAACGGAATTTCATGACTAGTAATTTAGTGTCTAGAATGTAGGTCAATGCAAACAAGCACATTTTAGTAGTAGAGGACAGTGGGTTTCCAGTTATAATCGAAATACTAAAAAAATATTTTGCAAGTTATATTTTCTGAATTTAGCCTCCTGATCTCTGATTGGGATATTCTGACTATAAAGTAGATGCAGAAATCTAAATTCTCATTCTCAGAAAATATTATAAGCTTACAGGATATTACGTTAATTTCACGAAAGTTGGGTAATTTATAAGTGAAAAATGCGATGTGTCAAGTGAGATTTGGTGGGAGCCTGAGTATTTCTGAAAAATTTATTCCAACTCACTGAAAATTAAGATTTGTTATGCACCTATATGAATAATTTCCCTCTGTGCTCTTTTAAGACGTTTCAATAAACTGGGCCCCAATAATTGGAAACAAACAAATAACTGGCAGATGATTCGGACTCACACCTCAAAAGGTGAAAGAGCTTTGAAAGTCATCGTGTTACTGATGACTAAGAGATTTTAGGGATTCTCATTGCTGGTAATAAAACCCGTGAGTCCTCTTCTTCTAGGTAAAAAAGATACAACTGTTGGAATACTTTACTTCTGGTAAGCCGTCATGAATGATATTGTGCAGCTAAGAGTGGGTAGATTCTTTATTCCGAAATTTTAACATGTCACAGGTCCATAGAAACTTCCAGATAATCCCTGATGATTGTATTTATGAGGTGGTGCTGTTTTTACCTAATTGAATGCAGTTAGAAAACGCTCATGACAGAACTGATACATGTGTAGTTCCTTACTAGGGATTTTGGAATATTTCAGCTACAGTAGCCAAAGGAAATGAATGGGATGAACCTATTTTAGCTACAGCTAACTATCGTGACTCAGTTCATGAAGGTGCTTTGCTTCTTTCTCAATTAGATATCAGGTTAAGACTCAGAAAGTGGTTTCTTTACACAACTCTTCACTTAAGCCTGAGGAGTGTCTCAGCCCTCACTGGACTACTACGCAAAATTCACTTTATACTCCAGTAACTCACTAAAATTGCAACCTAACAAAACACCATTGAATCTCCGTTTCATCATGTTTTCACTATTCTCATAGATTAGTTATCTTGTATTTTTCTCATCTGCCCACTTCTTATAACCACTATTTTCATCAGATGCTCGTTTTTTCTGTCACCTCGGTCTATCTGTACCATTTTGAGTAAACAAATAGCTGTTTTTAGTGTAATATTCAAAATGGCTACATGCAATGTCAATTGAATTTTGGAAATTCTAACTGTACATGTGTGCTGCATCTTAAACATGCGCCACTAAAATACTATAATATATACTATAAGTAACTTACGTTTAAAAAAACAGATAATACATTCCATGTGCGCCGGTTCATGCACCATCTTTAAGTATCATCCAATTTAGCTGGTTTCCTTGTTTGTCTGATTTATAGATCCAAAGCCGTACTATTCGATAGGTCTCCACTAATAGTTTTAGCAATGTCATTCCATAAAGTTCAGTTAGAGTGAGAAGTAACTGTCGTTGTATGAGTGAGTACGAGATTGAAACTCCTGGAGTTTTTGACTGGATTTGATAATCCTCAACCACGTACTAAAGGTCCTCATAAACAAACTGATTTAGTCGCACTTACTTTTGCAACTAAATGTCATGACGAAATGGACTCAATACTGTCTTCAGACTTTCCACAAAGCATACACTAAAAGTGCATACCCTTACAAGATGGTTAGCAAAGTCATTTCTAGCTTGAAAGAACACTCCACCTTCCTTGCAGATGTTAACGTCAGTCCCAGTAAATAACGACTTGAAAATCGGAATAAGCCTTAACGTCACTAAGTTAAGCAGTGCTAATAAACTTGCAGCTTGGTGTCCAGAATACCAGATGGGAACGACAGTTTTGTGTGAGAGGAAAAACCTTATCGGCCATATGCCAAGCAGGCTGTCTCTATACGATTGGAGATTTAATTGATCACACTGCCTCCAGCATTCATACAGTCACCTAAATACGCGAACTTGACAACTAATTTTGGCGCTTCGCTTGCAGTGAGTGAATGTAAGTACAAGCCAGTCTTGCAACAATACTTTGCACTCAGACGGAGCTAAGCGCATATTATAATTACTGACCGTCAACTAAGTGAAATTTGTACAGCCCCTATACTGTTTTACAGTAATATGATATCGTCAAGATCAGAAGTCTTTCTCTAAGCGACGGGTCTACACTATCACTACGCAAACCCCTCAGAGCTGTCTTCGGACTATAATTAATGATAAAGTTAAAGAGATCGAGCAGTTCTGCTAAGCTGAGGGTTGGTTGAAATAATGATAACAGCCAGCTGTATTTTCCTGAAATAATAAGTGTTTTCAAAGACCGTTAAAGATGCTGACAAAGATCGCAGGGACAACTACATCAAGAAGACAATTCCAACGAACATTTCCATCTAAAGAATCATCTAATTTCAAGCAAAGGTAACCTTAAATTCAGGAAATACAACGATTTTCATTCTGCTGGTTGAGTTTAATCAAGGCACCCACGAACCGAACGAATTTCAGCCTGCTTTTCGCGAATCGACTTGCAACGGATTATTAACCCGATGCACTACGTAAAGGTTTCTCAATGAGTTCAGTTCCCATTGATGGAACATTCTCACTTACCCAGTAATTTCCCTGACTGGAGTCTCGTCATCTTTGAAATGTCCCGGCCATAAGTTTCCTCAACCGAGTACTTCAATGCTTCCTAGTGTCTTTCACTATTAATCGAGCAATGTGATTGAGACTTTTGGTCAGCCTGATTGTTATTCCAAGTGCCCCATTCAGCGTTCGATGTTCGTTAACGTGCCATCAGCTTCAAAGACCACTTCACTGACCCCATGCCTCTTACTGTCAGTGGCTGTGCTGAGCTACAACAGATATGAACTATTAACAGATGCCAACTAAGTTTTCTACATGGGATTTTGCACAGAAATGAAGCCTGGGTTCCATCTCACCAGCACGTTCTGACTATCAGCCTTCATGCTCCTAATGTGAACAATGTCTGATCTTATGCATAAGAACATTGCTCAGAATTACACTGACAGGCGTCAAGAAGTTGCAATGAACTCACAGAAATCAAATGGCTATGAGCGTGACGTTTTTATGGACCGCAAGCACTCGTCATTTTCATGGCATCATGTAAGTGCATGCTATCTTCACTAATACTAACTGAAGCATTAACCTAGCTTGGCCTGAAACTTGGTAGAGGTAGCAGGTGCTACCAGTTTGCTTATGTCAAACTGTTGGCAACGACATTTATAACAAATACCAAATCACGGGATAAACCTGGAGCAAATCAGACAAGTACTGCAGAAGGAACGAGAGAGCAGTATAATCCATGCAGCTTTGGATTAAAGTGGCAGAGAAAGGATACTTAGATAGCAAAAAGGTAACAACTGTGCGGGAAGACCCTGTGGACTAGAAGTAGATTGAGATCCGTGCAAAACTGCAGAAGATTGTAACAACAGAAGACAGGGGCCAGGCAACAAATCGTTTATTCAGGAAAATCAACACGTATTTATAGATTTTGGTGTACATTAAAGTAGGTTAATGTTAGTAGAAAATACAGTCTGTTGATTGGTTGTTTCTCACACAAAGGTTAACCTTGCATCTCTTGTGGCTGTGTCAGTTCATCTATATGTTAACTGTTTCCGCCTGTCCACCTTGACCTCAATTATTGTCAACCAATTTGGCTCGCAACCATCTCTCACCACACTCGTCCCCCCGTCAAAGACTTGCGACTGAAGTTGGTTCGGTCTTCTCGGTTCTTGGGGCTTTGCTCTTTTGTCTTGCTGTCTGGAATCTCGGCGCTTGCGGATGTTCACTTGTTTCTCTGTGTTTACCATTGCGATTGTGTCTGCGTAACCCCATCTCAACGTGACCACATATGGTCCTTCCCACTTTGGAAACTGTCTGCCTGACCCTGTCGCACATTCGTAGGTATTTCGCCTCACGCTTTCATATGCTGCTTTCTCCAGACCTCTCAGCAGCGTCCCAAGTAGCAGCCTCATCGCTGACAGATCTTGAACGCCACTCAACTGCGAAGAAGCCTCGAAGTCCTGCCCGAAGATCCATATGTCTCCATCAAAAACTGCAGGGCATAGGCTTTTCATCTGTCGGTAGGCAGCGACACCAAATGTAACAACAGAAGACAGGGGCCAGGCAACAGATCGTTTATTCAGGAAAATCAACACGTATTTATAGATTTTGGTGTACATTAAAGTAGGTTAATGTTAGTAGAAAATACAGTCTGTTGATTGGTTGTTTCTCACACAAAGGTTAACCTTGCATCTCTTGTGGCTGTGTCAGTTCATCTATATGTTAACTGTTTCCGCCTGTCCACCTTGACCTTTGACCTCAATTATTGTCAACCAATTTGGCTCGCAACCATCTCTCACCACAGATAATCCTCATTATCTGACTTGCAACCACGTAGTTTCCACGATCCACCTAGACGACTCTCATCAGAGTTCAAACCTTCAACCTGTGTATTCAAGTCCACAGCTAGCACTACGACATATATTTGACTTGTGTACTTTAGAATCCCAATCAGCTAATGGTAGAAATCATCCTTAATTACTGCCCGTGCAATAGGCAGAGATAATAAAAGCCAAAGCTTCTTACTCTAGGATCACCTAGCCTTACGTAGTACACACTGTTCGGATTTGAAAGTGAAGATATTCAAAGCACTGAGGTCCTGTATGCGTATCTCAGCGACGCAACTTACACCAACGAAATTTTTCCAAGACTCAGGACAGACCTTCCTATTGTCCGATTCGTGTGTATGTGCGAACGTTGCAGGTGGAAAGCCTGGACGCCGTTTCAGAGAGAGAAACAACTTCATGAATGTTACTAACTGGCTACTTGAGACGGCACAGAATTCCAAACGATAGCGGACGGATCGAAATTGTAGCAAATGTGGTGATTAAAAAGTTCGGTGTATAGAAATATAGTAGTTAAGGACCAAGTTTATATGCCACTCAATTCTGGAGCCCATGTGCACCATCCGCTCGGAATCTGGGTGTTCAGCTCACAAAGCTAGTGAATATGGCTTACTTGGCACAGCTTGTGAACGTGTGATCATTCCGATGGAGAGACCGGAGTCGACCCACCCTCATATGTACCAGGTCGTACTATATTACTGAGATTAGTGGCCATTACTAATCTGCATCACTTTTGAATCCCGTCCTATTTTTCGAAATGGCACGTTTCAGTGATATGGAGCGGTAGAATCCAGGACATGCTTACCGGCCTACCTGAAATTCGTCAGCTGGACATACCTGCCTCCAGGTTAGTGGTATTCACACTGAGACTTGAACACAGGACCCACGGCTTGAAGCTCTAAAGCGTTATCCACAAGGTCAGTAGTATAAAAAGTGACTGCATTTCGCGAAATACTGAGACGGCCAGCTACGATTATGAATGTGAAAGATTCTTGTCACTGACTCTTGGGTGGTTAATCCAAAATCAAAACTTAAGGGACCAGTTTAGAAAATCTTGGAAATACACCGGTTATCCAAACTTATCATAAAGGTTAAAAGTGTTGTGGTTAACGAAACCAAAAAGAAACTAACGCAATCTAGGTTTTGTTAGAATTCACTACCGATTGGAAAGTTGCCATGGTTTTTAAATTTATCCATGCATAGAATGAAGTATTCATCAAAGAGATGAGTAACAATTTGCCTTAGATCCTTTGTCGACTTATGGTGTTATCACAATTAAAATTGATATAATATACCTGAGGTCAGTGTTTAATCTGTAAATTTTTTTGTTCAGGGACTTCAAGGAATTGATAAAGACATATTCTTCAGTCTGCCGTGTATTGTGAATGCAAACGGAGTTAGGGGTATAATGTTACAACAATTAGATGAAGATGAAAAAGAAAAGCTATTTACGAGTGCGAAAAAAATGGAAGAGCTTCTTCAAAGCATTGAATGGTGAAGACCGCATAGCGACAGAATGGAAAACAAAACATGGGAAGTTTAGATTATTTTTGTATTTTAATTTATTGTACAAGCTGTCTCTCCATGACGACAGGTTTTAATCAGTCCCCCTAAAAAGAAAAAAAACAATAATTTGGTGAAATAAACATATTTACACAGTTGGAAAATGAACTGTTTTCATTTTCATTTGAAGCAGCATTGAATATGATGGCAGGAAGACAATACTACCATGATCTGCATTATTTCATACACTTTGTGCAAGCTAAGTTAGATAGTCGTTACACAATGTCACCACTACCAGAAACTAAATTTCATGTTAATTAAATGAAATAAATACGAATTTCTAGTACTGGAAGGGTTACTTTTCATTAACTTTGCGGTTTATTTATAGTGACCCACATTATTAGTGAAGCAATAAATGCTGCTGAGAAAGAGAGAAAACTAACATTTAGGTAAACAAGATTCAACTTCTAATATAATGAGACTTAGCCTCCTATCAATCAAGTCAGCTAAACTAGAGACAGGACGACAATCATTTAAAATTGAGAAAGCAGATATTTTAGAAGTAACTTACATGTCGATTTTTCGTCTCTTTGCTGCTAACTGACGAACTTCCTTTTCTTTTCTTTTGATCGAATGAACCATCTTTTTGTACACGTTCTTGTGCTTTTTCGGCAACATCAATTCTCTTAGTTTTCGTTCAGCATTTGCTTCCTCATTTTCTTTGAATTTCTTGGCTTCATTACTTTCAGCTCGACCAGGTGTTATCTTTGGCTGCATACCTAAAATAAAAGATTAACTCAACAATAATAGGTTTTAAGTGCGAACTTACACATACCTACGTATAGCATAAATGAGCAAACACTTCGATGATTGTTGCATAAGTAATAAAGACTACCTATCTCATAGATAAGTGCAAAGTAGCCTTATCTGGGAATTACGAAGAACTATTCCTACATACTTTAATCGATCCAATCCATTCTCTTAATAAATTTCCACCTTAATCTTTGAATCGTTAGATACCTAAAGATAAAGAAGTACTTGGGATTTCTTTATAACCTGCTCTTCATTGGATAAATGCTTATCGAACAAGAAGAATTGTTCTATGGCAGAGACTCCTGGGACAGTAGGTCAAGTTATTTCCGAAATTCTGTGCTTAGGATATTGAATGACTCTGGAGGTTTTTAGTCACTACTACATCTCGCTTGTACAAATCAGGTTTCCAATGTGGTGAGCAACTGCTGAACGCAGCTGAGAAACATAAAGTATAAAATTACAAATATGATGAATAAAACGTGCGAAAATACCTGCATCACCTAGATTGGTCTTGAGTAAGACCACTGTCTAAAATTATATATATATATATATATATATATATATATATTTCAAATAAACTTCTATGCCTACTTTGCGCATCGCTTGCGTACTGTTTCTGTTGAAGACATCTGATGATTATAAAGCAAAGGTGTTTCAGTACGTGGAGACTTTTCACACCTTTACCTGTTATCCATAGTACACCACATATTTTTGATTGGCTTACGCAACGATTGAAGAAATTATAAAGACAAAAAGGTACTAACACATTTGAATGAATATCCAAAAACATGTCTACCCTGAACAACTCATTAGTGTCACTACTGATATCAAAACATCCTACAAAAATGAAAGTCCGGTGAAAACATACCTTTCGTTACTTTGTTAAGCTTGTTTCGTTTCTTTTTTTGCCCATCGGTTTGCAAGTCACTTTCCTCTTTCATAGATACGTCCACGTTATCATCTAAAGCTGTTTCATCTTTAGTTGTGCCTTCTGACTGTGCTTGCACTCTTGCTCCACGTATTTCAGCTAAGCTCACCAAACCAGCAAGATAATCAGCCTCTGGTGGGCGATAAATAGATGCACCGTCACCAAGTCCAGGAGCAACACCCGTTAGTCCACCACGGTTTGTAAGTGAGGTGATTGCGGCGTTTAAGGCTTCATCTGTACTACTGCTTCCTGCAAACGGACTCAAATGAGGTGGAAGACTACAACCTGGAAGGTAATCTTGTGTAGGCAGCAGTCTACCTGCGTTTAAGCAGTCGAAAACCCACTGAGGTTGGACATAGTATCTATCGTTTAAAAAAGTATTTGATGAAAAGTGATATGAAGCACCAGTCGTGAGCACTGAAAATAAATCTAGAAGATATTAAACAAAGAGGGTCTCATACAAATAAATTTAGTAAATTTCAAAACGTAATACGGAGATTTATCATTATCACATTAAGTGAAATAGTTAATAACAAAATATACGACAGTTCAAGAAGATGAAAAATAATTCTGCGAACTACAGGAATGATTAAAATGCAACTGACTGAACGATTTTAACTCCCACACTTTTGGATATACAGACAATGATTATATGGTGTAGAATCAGATCAAAAACGAAACTAGAAACATATAGTACAAAAATCAATAGTACATTGTTTTAGTAACGACCTCAATATTGATGACTGACGTGTTACTTCAACCCGAACCGTACAAACTTCTGAAACATCGGATTATGCTTTCAAGACAGATAGGTGAAACCTACCTGGGGATATTTTAGTAGCAACAGAACTTGACTGATCAAGTCAAGACAACTCGAAATACCTATTGGCTTCAAAAGTTGAAATTGACTTGAAATTTCTATGATGCCTATCTGAAGTCTGCTTTATTTCTTTTTTTCACTTGTGGATATTCGATTCTTCAGGAATCTAAGCAGTATATTTCAGATATTGAGCCATGTTGATCCATAGTTAATAATTTTAGTTGAGCACGCATTAAATCATGAGACTAGCATAGTAAAGAAACACTTAGATGTATGCCTTATCAGTGTGGAAAATACGGCCAATTTATGTAACACTAAGTTTTTATGCACTTTGCAGATAACTAATAAAACCTAGAGAAAAGAACTCAAATGCAGTTGGAACATACAAGTTTGAAACATGAAAATTCACATACGACATGATGCATAGATAAAGATCGGTTAGCATAGAAAGTAATAAACAATCATTTTGTAAATAGATTACCGTGTTAATTTCATTTCCGTCATCGGACGATCTACAATTTGATAATCAATGCTAGGATCATCCTCTTGAAACGTGGCTCCCGGACAAAGAATTTTATCCCAAGAACACTCTCCGCCACACGATCGTATTATCAAGCAAATTACTTCTCGAGGAACTTCACGCATCAAGAAGAAACGTTTGTTCTTGAATAGTTTCTTTATGTTTTGAACTTCCAGTTGTTTATTTATAGCCTGTGAAACCTGTTCATCGATAGCCTACAAAAAACAGGGTCGAGTTAGAAACGTGTAGAATAATCCCAGTGCAGTGTATTGTATTATTGTAATGGGATGAAACTAGAAAAGTAAACTGAGACTAAGGTTGGACCAGATCATAGCCACATCTAAATTTTCTACCTATCTTAAAAGTAATAATATATATTAAACTTTGCTTTTCATCTGAGCAAGTTCGTTCCACAAGTGCTTCAAAAATACATATATCATGAAGTGTGAATATCAAAGTTGTAAAAGCTGCCTATGCTCTGAAACGAAGGAAAACAACAACGCCAAGAGATTTGACTTGATAAGTATTTGATGAAGATGACGACAATGACTAAGATAATAGTTTATAGAAATCTTGGACACCTCCATCAGCCTGGTGAAAGTTATTGACCATTTGAGTTGATAAGTATAATGAATCTTTCAGTGACCATAATTACATGGGGTTAACACTCTAACATATTTTCTTGGGTCCTAGGGTTCGAAGTTATATGAGGACTAAGTGGAGCTCGGTTAGAACGAATCCGAAAGAAGCGGACATGTTTTAAGCCCAGTGTGTGTGTTGATCAATTTTTCTGAAACGGAAATTCAACAGTCGCCATACTTTGTGATCTTAAGGTGGAATACAATTTTTTCCAATGAAGTGTTATAATATCTGGGCCTGAAGAACATACGTGACATGTTACGCCAACGCGTTCCTTGATAAGTAATGCCGGCTAAATTAGGAAAAACAGGCAGTCAGACAAAAATCATAGCACCCAGCTATGAAGCCTACAAGTATTAGTGAGAGCTAAGTCACAGACCGCAGGTTGCTTGACTGAGTTTTAAGACGGCGTAAACAGCAAACATATGAAATACTAATATTGAATATTAATTATGAGTTGATTGAACTACTAGAAATATTTAGCAAAGTATTTGTTAGTTAACAAATAATTACAAATACTTTGATATCACGACCATTCACTAACTTCAGTGACAGCAAGAACACTTAATTCATAATACAACAGGTGATGAAACTTCATTTGTCACGTATTCAGCATTTGATCAAGGTAATTTGTTGCAAGTGTGAATTTATATTAGCGACTATCTTTTTGTGAAGACTGATCTGTAAAGCAGTCGAAATACTGATTAAGTGGATTGAGTTAGATACTTAATGCTCTGTACTTAGTGGGAGGATTAAATATACCACCTAGAAGTTCAAAACTAGATAAAAGAGCGATTTGAAGCTACAGTTGATCAGCATGCAAATATTCACTTGATATGATCAGTTGAACTTTCACTAACATCTTTTGATTTAAATAAATAGTGGATGACATACTGCTTGAATGCTACTCTGAAAGATGAACCAATTCTACAAATTCACTGAGGGTAGCAATTTTATTTTCATGAATTTAGTGGAAATCTTGGACACTGACTTAAATTGCTTGTAGAGAATACGGATGAAAAGATTTTAGACCTATTATTTAATATGAACAGCTTTTTGAACAGATTACCCTCATCCTGGCCAACAGGATGAATCTGCAAAATTCACCTTGAGGGTGTCAGGAGATGCGACGGCTAGCTCACGAGGATTAGCTGGTGTTGGGATAGCTTTAAGTACTAGAGCAGAAAAGACATTACTTGACTGGATCCCGGTAGATAGCCGAATGTGCGCTGTCCGCCTGAACGGATCAGTGAAAAGGAGAAAGGACTGCACTACTCGCCGATGCCTTTTCGTAATCTCCGCCTACGCCCCCACTGACTGCAGTTCGGATGAAACGAAGGATGAGTTCTACCAAAAGCTGTCCAGTTTGCTGCGAAAGGCTAGACGCTCAGATATAGTCGTTTTAGCTGGTGACTTTAATGCTCAAGTAGGGAAATTGTGTCAATCTGAGAAGAATGTTGGTGGCACATACGGAATTCCGTGCCAGCGAACCGACAACGGTGACCGTCTCCTACAGTTCTGTTCAGATAATCATTTGTATCTTGTAAGCACTAACTTCAAACACAAGGAGAGACACTGTTTGACCTGGCGACCACCATCATCAAATCAACGCTGGACACAAATAGACCACATAGCAATAAGCTATCGTTGGCGTGGGTCGGTAGGAGATTGTCGCTCCTTCTGGAACACGTGTGTAGATACCGATCACGCACTGGTCCGCGCTCGTGTGTGCTTACGACTGAACGGACGTAGGAAACAGCTGGCGGTAAACCCACCACGTCCCCAGCTCGACCAGGGAACTAAGTCCCTATTTGAGGAAGAACTAGCTAAACACATATCTGAGTTTGACAGCTGCGCTCACCCTGAAGAAGCCTGGAAGAATATTCAGTCAGCCATAGATACAGCTGTAAAAGCTGTGAATAAGGTAAATCCAAAGGTGAGTAAAAACCATTGGATTTCGACTGCCTCATCCGAACTGATAGATGCTAGAAGACTTATTCCGGCGAGCTCCGAATTCAATGAGGAGCGAAAGCTGCACAAGAGGAAACTTACGAAAAGTCTCCGCAAGGACCGTGAACAATGGTGGTTGACAAAGGCGAAAGAGATGGAAAAAGCATCGGCGATAGGCAACACCAGACAACTATTCAGGCTTATCAGGGAAACAGGTGGTAAAAAACAAATGATAAGCGAAACAATCTCCGAGAAAAATGGCACCATAATTAGCTCCCAGGATAGACGTCTGGAGCGCTGGAAAGAACACTATGAGGAGCAGTTTAATTGGCCCACAGCCACACTTAACCTACCGGACATCCAACACCTCCCTGAATGGGAGATAGACACAGGTCCTCCGTCCTTAACCGAGGTTACTAAAGCTGTCACCAATCTGAAGCTAGGCAAAGCAGCGGGACCTGATTTATTGACTCCAGAGGTATTTAAGTACGGAGGCGACAGTTTACTGTCTGCGTTAACGGAGGTTCTAGGCAGCGTCTGGGAATCAGAGGAAGTCCCATCGGGTTGGTGTAAGTCACTGATCATCCCGATATACAAGAAGGGGGACAAGTCGTCTTGTGATAATCACAGAGGGATTAGCTTGACTAATATAGTATCTAAAATCCTAGGCTCAATAATACTGCGTAGATTAAGTGGTGCTCGGGAGACACAAACACGAGAAAACCAGGCAGGTTTTAGGCCAGGTAGAGGGTGTATTGATCACATCTTCACCCTTCGACAGATTCTAGAACATAGGCATTCCTACCGGCGTCCGACAATCATTATATTTCTTGACCTAAAGGCGGCATTCGATTCCGTCGACCGGGAGGTTCTCTGGCGATGCTTGGCTGTAAAGGGAATGCCAAGAAAATACATTGCACTGATTAAGGCACTCTACTCGTACTCATGCAGCCAGGTGAGGGCTTATGGCGAGTTGTCATCTGAAGTGGTGACGACTAGTGGCGTCCGTCAAGGATGCCCATTATCCCCATTCCTATTCAATTTCATCATAGATGTACTAATGGACTTAACCCTAACTCACTTCAGCGACTCAGGGATTGACTTGCTACCAGGGAAGAATCTCGTTGACTTAGAATATGCGGACGATATAGTCCTTCTAGGCGAGGACTCTGACAAAATGCAGAGTCTACTGAACACCCTGAGCAACAACCTCCGCATGTTTGGCATGCGATTCGCCCCTATAAAATGTAAGATGATGCTGCAGGATTGGACTTCATCGACCCCTAGATTAGAAATAGGAAGTGAAGTGGTAGAACACGTTGACCGCTTCACTTACTTGGGAAGTACCATCAGCCCCAACGGGTTGATCTCCGACGAAATTTCAGCACGAATACAGAGGGCTAGGTTCGCATTCGCCAGTTTTCGCCGTCTCTGGCGTAGACGCGATATCCGACTATCGACCAAAGGGCGTGTGTACTGCTCAACAGTCCGCTCCGTCCTCCTTTATGGCTGTGAGACCTGGCCATTGAGAGCAGAAGACATGAAAAGATTAGCTGTCTTCGATCATAGGTGTCTGCGTTCTATCTCCCGCGTGAAGTGGAATAATAAGGTGAGCAATATTGAGGTTAGGCGTCGAGTGCTAGGTAAGGCGGGGAAATCAATCGACGAGACTGTGAAATTACATCGACTGAGATGGTTAGGACATGTGCTACGTATGCCTAGTCATCGCCTTCCTCGACGGGCAATGTTAGCTGATATAGGGTCAGGCTGGAAAAGAGCTAGCGGCGGTCAAACCAAAACATGGCACCAATCAATGAAATCCACAACAGTTAATCTAAGCCACGTAGGAAGATGTAGACTTCCTGGTTGGGGCCCTCGGGATGGTAAAAACCAATGGTTGGAAACAATTGGCGACATGGCTCAAAATCGTTCTCAGTGGCGCAGATGCATCCACTCCTTGTGACTTATCATTTCCAGTTAAACTGTTTTGTTCTCCGTTATTACTATTCCTTTGTCTCACACCTCTGTTTACTGTCTATATTTTGCATTTCTTCTACTTCCTTCTCTTGCTTTGCGTGCTACATGGATTGTGGCGACTTGAACTGCCGCACATATGTGCAAAGTTCTATGTCGAAAACAGACAGACAGACAGACAGACCCTCATATCTGAATTGAATACTTAGCTGCCTAAACAGACAAGATAACAGTCTAAACACAGTATCTTACTTTTGGTAATCGGTTGACCAAACACCGTTGGATCGATAAGGGATATTCATGTGTTGAATGAGTGTAAAAATTCAGAATATAACTGACAAGAACACCTCTCGGAGACTGTATTTATTTTAAATGCTTCATCTGGATAAAGGCATTTTACTCTTTTGATTAATAGGGTGTATTCTTCACCGAAAAGTGATAGTGCCTAGCAAATCTTCCTAATTAGCACTTTATAATAGTGGCTGCATTTAAGCTTATCTCGGTGTCTGTTTCGAATGGTATTCGCTTGGAACGTTTATTCAATTTCTGTTCAACCTTATGAAAAGTACGCTTACGGAAGTTTATGTTATCACATCCAAGTTCACAGAAGCAAAATATGCTAATGGGTTAGCTTGGCTGATTCAGAGTATACACACAACCTAGCTCCTTTGTGCCAAGACACTGACAAAATGCTAAATCTCTTCAAAACTTCCGACGACAATTCAATGAGACAAGTTGTAGGCGACAAATGTAGCCAACCACTGCTTTACATTTTCATTGCACCTGTTCTTTATCATACTATAAGGCGAGTTAGCTAGACGCGTACACCATTTTCATTAATTGTGAAAATGCTTTGGTGAGTTGATTGCAGATGAAAACGAATAGAGCAAGATCTCTTTACTTCCAGCAAATAAATTAACTTATGAGAAAATATACCTAGTTGCGATAGTGCACTGAGTTCTATTTTATATTTGCGAACAATGGAGGTTATGAATAAAAAAACCGAAAATCCCCAAGATCTGACCATATTGGATTGCATTTGAAGCAAATACTACATACACGACTTCAAGGTTATATATAGAGATGTAGATATAATTATAAAGCCATTCAAGAAAGTTTTAAACTTTGGTCTCTAGAATGTATGTATTTTGCATGCCCGCTTACAACATACACTGATTTGCAACGTTAGCGAAATTATACTAGGGTAAAATTAGGATTGACCACATCAACCTGTGAAATTAAAGATTTCTTATCTCAGTCAGGGAAAGAAGTATGGGTTTTCTATTTGGTAGTGGCGTGGTCATAGAGAGCGTGAAATCATAGGATAAATGACGCTATCAACTGCAATAGCGAGGGTGTATTCACACCTCATCTTGAATAAAATGCACTTAATTTTACCTTAAAGCAATTTACGATTTTTTGGTCAATAATTTCATCTGTTTGTCAACTTCAAACACTAACTTTACATGCACACGTGTGGTTATTCAATTTAGAGTCTTAGGCTTCCAAGCTACGCACGAAAGTCTTGATTAGTGGTGAGTAAAAATGCAAACAAGCGGTAACATCACGAGTCAGTTAATGAAGATGAAAAAAATTACCTGAAGCTCTGTCATATCATCATCGGGTGTTTCTGCATTAGGTTCCAGGCGCTTTAAAGGGAAACTAAGAGACGACATAAACTAATGCGAATGATGATGAGTTAATCGGAACCTACCTCGAAAAGGCTTTCCTTTTGCCCGCAGTAGTAACCATCCGGGTCATGTTCGACGCGAATAGCAAGTTTCGGGGGATATGCTAAATTGTTGATTCGATACAAACTTAAGAAGATTAGATGAATAAAACACTTACTGGCACATCAAAGAGCCAACTAAAGTGGCATCAAATTCCAAACACGTTGCTAAAATACGATAGTCTACATCAGTAGGTGTGTGAGTTACAGAAGCATGGGGCATAATCCAAACAACTGGAATTCCATCAATCTCAGCTTGAACATAAAATCCTTTTATACTGATAAAAGCCTTAACATTTAGTAAATAAGTGACTACAACCAACTTTTCTAACAGCTTGTGTTGTTACAACCAAGTTGAGAAACTCCACGCAGAGACGCCGACTGATGGGGATCAAGGCAGGATGGAACTGAGTTAGTCGAGGTAGCTTCGCGAAAAGAAACAACAAGTTAAGACTATCGCTAATATCTCGTAGAGCATCTTGCCGGGAAGGATATCTAAACAAATACTATGAGGGGATGTAAAGAGAATACCTCTCCCTGACGATCTGATGTAGAGTATACTTTGGTTTGTTTACTCTGATTCTGAATAGCTTATCTTTATCTCTCTTCTCTTTAGCCTTTTTAAGCTTCATATGGTAAACACGCAATCGCCGGAAGGCTTCAATCAAAGGCTCGTTGGAAAGGAATGCAATATCCTTAGCATTGTAATAGATCCTTGGCTGGGAATTCCCTTTACCGACTTTCTTTCGGTTTCTGGGCTCCACCGGGTATATTCCTTTCAATATACAAAGCCGTCTGGTATATTTAATTATGTATGTTCACAACTTACCTGAAATTAGGAAGATTTAACTGCAATCGCCTCATTGCCTGCTTTTGACTGAGGAAGGCTACAACCTGTCCTTTAGTATGCTTATAAGGAAAATAATGTAGTTATATTGACACAACATACCTTTTTCTTCATTCTACCCATCACGCTAGATTTTTTCAAAGTATTGGCGACCTTGTGGTGAGCCAACTGATACGCTTAAACTGCATACGAAAAAAACAAGGTGGATACATCGCAAACACTAAGGCGATGTATCTAACACTAATGTTTTCCACTAAAATCATAAAAGAACGAAAAATGGTGGTGGTGGGAATTCCTATTGGGGCATTCAAATTCGGACTTTTAGTTCATGATGGAAGACTTGGAGTTTATATAAGTATGTTGTTTTATCCCTTCTTAAACCAGTATCCTGAGCATTCAACTACCACTTGTTTTCTGGAGTTCGGGTCCAAAAGTTAATGACTGGGTGGGAGGACTCCCAATCAATGTACATATTTCCTGTCTTTTGAACTCATGCTATGTCACCTGTGATGTTCCAGATTAGTGAAAAAGAAAAGAAGAGATCGATCGGGTTTGTTGTCGTTTCTTAGAATTTTGACCATTATGATTAGATCTCCTTTGGATACACAGAAGGGATGCGAACTGTGTTGTCTTTCCAAGTATGACTGATTGGTCATTATAAGAATCATACCGGTGGTCTTTCTACAATATATGAGTCCAGTTTACGTCAAGGGCTGACTCCGTGGATGAAGCTGACCTCGTCTGCCCACGTTAGGCATATGTATAAAGTGCTGATCTTTTTAACCGTGCTTCTAACAAGGGCCGCCAAAGTTCTAAAGCTACAAGTTGCAACTGAGCAACTGTGCGCCTCACTTTTTAGATCTATGTTCGTCTGAACTGAAGGGAACAGTATTCCTTCGACGTTTTAGGGGACCAAAGAGGATAATCCAACCATAACGAATCTTCCAAGCCCTTGTTTTCCAATCCTCACTGATAAACAAACTGATCGTTGACGGAGAAACGGCTAAGGTTCAGTTGATTTGAAGAACCTCTTTGATCCCCCTTCTTGGGGATAAAAGATGCTTCACACCCTCTCTGTGAGGTAAACGAAATTAGGGGTTGAGAAGGAGTGTTAAGAAACACACAGCCTTATTTTCCTAATGTGTTTAACTAGAGTCAGTGAAATGGAGACTTTCTGTCCGTCTCTTAACACCATTTGCGTTGGAATCCAGTTGGCTATTATATCATATATAGTATATAGTATTCTGAGTTTCGGAGGGTTGTCTTCTGGCTGTGGCGAATATTCCTGTTACCATTATTGACAGGGGGCTTATACGAGCCTGTGGTCGGAGTTGCCTGGTACAGTTTTTGTTAGGTTTCGTTAATTGACCAATGAGGTGTTAAAATCACCAACCAGGAGGCAGTAACAGTGTTTTTGTAGGTTGACTCCTTTTCAAGGACATTGCCTTATGTGCTATGGGGACTGCTATATGTTGCGATGGGTTTGACCCATTTCACTCAGTACTTTAGTCTGCTGTATATAAATTCGCGACAGTTCCTGATTTTGGCATAAATAGGCCCTTCTTAAGATAGGTTCCTATTCTTTCCTATACAAAGCGAAGTTTCTCTTGAATTAGTTTTGCCGTTGCTGATTTTGTGTTAGTCATCATTCTGTAGTGGCGATGACATCTGAATTTTTCAAGATAACCGGACTATCAGGCTCACTTCATCTTTTTAAATGTTTGCAGATACTGGTGTGTCCAACTGTGACTTCGTTTTGGCTCTCCTACACTAACGCCATACAGGATGAAGGTAAGACACTTTGAACTTCCACCACTCAGTGTCGTTCACTTAATTCCAACTCAGCAGAGCCTCTTAATATGGTCTACCAGAGATAAGTGTTTGGACGTAGATATCAGATTCCTTAGTAGTGTAAACATTGCTCAGAATTGCATCTCATTCAGTTTTCACATTTCCTGAGTACTTGCAAAAGTGTTCCAACTGGTATGTTGTAGAGTCAGTCCTTCGACCGTGTCCGTACGAAGCGCGGATGGTATGTCTTGCTGTTATCACCGGGAATAGAGGGGCTATATGAGGTGTTGTTTGCCCACAGTTGTGTTGGAACCTTGCCTTGGGGTCTGCTTCTCTTGGTTACTCTAAATTGTAAAGGCAGTTCAAACTGTTGCAGAGATCAGGTTTGTTGTGGTTGTCTTTCATGCTTTGGGATATCGATACCTGCCATTCTGCTAGTGGCAGTACATCTTCTGCAACTATTTTATCTCACTTCTCACGGAAAACTACATCTCTCCACCAATTGTCATCCTGTTTCCTGCTTCACATTTGTACCAACTCTTGTATCAAAGTTAACACAAAAGAAATCGCAAAGTAGTACACGTAGAGTCAAAAGGCAGCAGTTCACATCCCACGTGTATTTCATAACTGTGCTGATGATTAAGTTACACCAGGAGACCGGACCGACTCCCCAGAAGGGCATTCATAATCGAATACATTCCAATAGAGTATGAAAAGCTTTGGAAACTCAAAGAATATGTAGCCTCTGTTTGGTTACTTTTAGTGTCTTTTTGTGTTCCTCAGGCGCTAGTGAAATCCTGCACTGTGTAGGGACGCAATAACCGCTTATTATATACTTCAATTTTGTGGTTGGTTAAAACTACACTGAAAATGCAGGTTATGAGGCAACTTCTGCTGTAGATAGACTACCTTTGCTATATCATTTCTTTCCGGTAAAAGGAGGCTCATTTTGGCCGGGCTTTCCTAATTAAGCCATGTCAAGACTACTGTTTGACTTTGCAGCGACTGTAACAGCACCACCATTTAATTAGTAGTTTTTATTCATCTGAGATAGGGCAGTCACAACCAGAGATTTTTCCAGCGTTGTGTGCCACTGAAGCCCCTCTATATGGGGTATGGTTTCAAGTTACTGTGAAATGGCTTGGATGCCTGACCGGAAGCCTTCATCCAAACAAATCGAGTTAAACAGCGAGTGTCAGCACCCACTGTTCAGTGATTAATGATGTGGCTAATAATTCTGGGGAACTACCTATCACTACCTATGAGGACCCTAAGACGAAACCATCCGGAAGTAAAAACCTTATGGTGTTACCATCAGTAAAATTCTTCCAATCGGCTTGGTGGATTGTCTACTGGCCGCCTACGATACTTGGGTGCATGTAAATTGCTTCGTTGATGTCCGTCCGTTGGATCTTGTGCTTCGTTTGCTTCTTGTTCAGTCTCCGTCTCACCTGAAAAAAAACAGAATTCTGAGAACCTTGTCGAGGAAAATGTACCAAAAATAACGTTTGAATATTGGTATACAACTACCATACAGAAAAATAATGTGAAAAATAGAACATCAAAGAAAACATAAATTTTAATGGATGTAACTTGTACGGTAATAAAACATTTCTCACTTATGTCTCAGGATGCAATGAAAAAATTCATGCACCTAAGGAAAAAACATCCCACACGCGCGTTAAATTGGGTGGGTCGCATCATCTTGCTATGTGAGATGAGTGTGAAGATGTTCTGTAAATCTCACAGTTCGTTCAGAACGCGTTTACCTTGAGGGCTTACCAGAAGGTTTGGTTGCATTCACCGAGCTAGCGATTTCTTCGAGGACTAACGATATTCGGTTGCCTGTGTATTGTTGGGAATGCTCAGTTGGAGGTTCATGGGTTGCCTTCTAAGTAGGCGACCGATGCTAACAGAGTATTCACGGCCTTTTTTGTCTGGGACAAAAAATGTATACATACGCTTAATGACTTTATATGGTCCGTCGTAGGGGGGGGGTTCAGAGGGCGACGTACAGAGCCACGACGAGCAAGTACGTGTGAAGAAGTTTCCAAGCATCGGTGAACAAAGACGTCTATGAACTGTGGTCGAAGAGGAGCAGGTTTAACTGAGCACACTTCGTTTGTAAGCCTGCTGAAGTACGAGGCTTGATCAACCGCTGGTGGGAAACTAGGAGAATAAACAAACTCACCTGGCAGTCGTAGTATCGCGCCGTAAAATAGCTCAGCTTTTGGTGTGTCTTGCCACCTTGCACTTTTCACAAACTAGGCACTTGTGAGCCCATTACCCTAATTCTTTATTAAGACCAGGCCAACAAAATCGACTATTTACGAGCTTGGCGGTATTTCGAATACCTGGGTGGGATAAGCCATGCAACGTATTCAAGACGTTACGGCGATAACTTTTAGGCACGATGGGGCAAGGAGTATTCGTGGAAATGTCACATAGAATAGCATTCTTTCCATACTAAGGGTTTCTCGGTAATTGCAGAGCTGTTTCCGACAACTCATGTTGAAGCTCAGCATCTTCTTTCTGAAGATGAGCCAGTTTCACAAGGTGTATGCCGTCGTTTTGGGTGAGTGAACAAATGCGTGACAAGGCATCTGGCACAATGTTGTTCACTCCGGACACATGGCGAATATCCGACGTAAGCTGTGAGACGTAGTCCAGTTGTCGTGATTCTCTAGGTGAATACTCATCTGAAATTGAGTTCAGAGAGTACGTGAGGGGTTTCCGGTAAGTGAAAGTTATAAATTCACAACCCTCCACTGAATGTCGGAGGTAGCGCACAGCACAGTACAAAGGCAAAAGTTCTCTACCGAATGTTCTGTACTTCCTTTCTGCTAATTGTATGCGCCTCGAGAAAAAGTGAGTGGTTGCCACTCTCTGTTGACTAGTTGTTGCAGAACTGCGCCGATTGCAGTGTCTGATGCATCAACCGAGATACTTAACGGTGGCGTCGGATCCTGATATATAAGAAGTGTGGCATGCGTGTTAGCTTTTTTAACCTGAGTGAAAGCATTTCGAGCAGACGCGTCGAGTTCGATGGACTTGTTATTCCCTCGAAGAAGGTCTGCTGAATCAGAGAAGCGCAGTTAGGAACAAACTGTTAGGAATAACTTACCAAGCTGTTGAAAGTGCGCAGACTTTTCACTGTCTATGCCTCCGAAAAGTTCAGTATCACCTCAGCGTTATTATTCAGTGGGCGGTTACCCTTGTAGTCAATGATGTGGCCCAGAAAGTCGAGTGAGTCAACGCCTATCTGACACTTTCGAATATTGATGGTAACACCATGTCGGCGTAACCTTTCGAATGCCAAGCCCAAGTGTCTGAGGTGAGTTTCCTTGTCTGAACTGGCAATGAGGCAGT